TCATTTTGTAGCAAAAACTCTAGTCTACCACATTCTCAAAAGTCTTGTGAACAAACGTTCTGTATGTGTTTTATGGCCTTATTTCAGTGACTTACTTAAAAAAGTTTTTCACTAACCATGCATAAACATTGTTTTCTCACAAACACAAACATGTACTTTCATGCTGCTCACAAATTATTGTAGCCCATTTTGTGCTGAATACAGTGTTATCAGACTTTAGCCATTAAATTTTTTTTAAGATACTGAAAAGAAAAAAACAAATGTCAGGGCATGCCAAAACTTCTCCAGGGCCCCAAAACACCCTCAGACCCCAGAGGGCTAAATGGCAAAAACTTTTGCTGTCATTGTTTCAACTAGGGATGCACCGATACCACTTTTTCCAGTACTCGCCCGATACCGATACTTTTATGTGTTTGGGTTCTTAAAAGTTTAATATTTTATATATAATTGTTATTTATAAAAACAATTGTTAATTTAACTTTAAGATACTGTAGTTATTTTCTTAATTTGTCATGATAGATGTTTGCATCATGACAACTTTATAAAAAAAAAAATGGCCACAATGTTTAAGAGGTTTTAAATAAACAGTAGCATAGTTTGTGATAATACTTGGTATTTATTTGGTGCTGTTAAAACCACCACAATAAACCTGTAGCTCTTTTATGAAATAGTAATAAATCGCATTTTAAATCGCAAATCGCAGTTTTGATCAGAAAAATCGCAATTAGATTTTTTCTCCAAATCGTGCAGCCCTAGGATGATAACGCTTTCATTTACAAAATCATCCAGAACACACATTATCATCATAACCTTCATGACTTCTTCATCATTCTTTACTTTCTTTTGTTTAGTCTGGACATTGAATGAATTTCTAGTCTTTATAAATTCTGATCAGTCTGATGATCTCTCGCTCTCTCTCTCTCTCTCTCTCTCTCTCTCTCAGTAGACGTTCTGTTCCGGCGATGATTCCCTGACCTCGTCCCGTGGAGAAGAAGTCCTGCAGCATTCCCGAGGATCCGGCGGCGTTCCGGTCATGTCCTCCGTCCCGCCGGAGAGTTCCCAGCTTGTGGAGGAGTGGCTGAACGCCCTCCGGCTCGACCAGTACTGCTACGTCTTCCAGGAGGCGGGGCTGGGAACGCTGTGGGAGTGTCAGGATCTAAGCTCCGCCCAGCTGCAGCGGATGGGCGTGGGTCTGCCTTCACGCCCGGATCGGTAACCATGGCGACCGCTCCTGAGCCTATCAGCATCCCTGAACAAAAGGAAACGCCCACACCTGCCGGACGAGCCAAGCCCATCCCAACTCCGAGGCCACGCCCAGAACACCTGCCTCTTAAAGGGCCGGTGCAGCAACTCCAGACGAGCGAGAGGAAACCGTCCCGTGTGTCTCCCTCATCCTCCTCCTCATCGGAGCGCTTCCACCTGTACGAACAGTGTTCGTCTCCCGCTCAGGGAGAAGTGGGCGTTCCTCCTCTTCCTCCTAAGAGCTACACTGTGGGTGTCTCTAAAGAGCCCAGAGACGTCCCGTACAGACCCCCTGTTCCACCGCCTCGTGTCTGCAGCACGACTACGAATCCCAGAAGCACGTCATCCGGAAGCCCGCCCACTTTCAGGTACCGGACACACTTTATCTGTCTGGTGTAGCGCGCTATACGTACTACATAGTGCACACAGTATGCGTACTGAATTTTTTTCCAAAATTAAAGTTTTCATTTAGCCGAAAAAAAGTAACTATTAAAATTTTTTAAGTATTTAATAATCAGTTAATTTCTAAAATGTATTTAGTAATCAACACTAATAAAATGTAAAATAAAATGTAAATGTTTATTATGAATATTAAATGTTTATTTTTTATTTATATGTTTTAATGATATTTTTACTCCTTGAAATATAAACATTTAAACCGTGGCTGTCAAAACTTGTTTTCGTGACAGATTTATTCAAATATACATTAAATAATGATGATAAAAATAGAATTAATATTTAATATAGTGCACATATTTATCACAATGCTCCTGTTTTTATAATGGTGAATAGAGTATGTCCATTAAATAGGAGATCTGGGTATTTTTTAAAACTGTATTGATTATTTGTATTAATTAAAAATTATTATGGCTTATAAATTTAGCCTTTTTCCGTGAACATCTGTGGCAAAAAACTTACATTTTGCATGTTAAGTTTGTATACAAACATTTAAAATGCACTTAAGCAGTTTTTATATCATATTTGTAATGATATGATGATGTTTTTACTCCACTTCGTTGTTGAAATACAAACATTTAAATGGTAGCTATAATAAAACCTTGTTTTAATGACATTTATTCAAATATACATTAAATAATGAAGATAAAAATATAATGAATATGTAATATTGTGCGTATATTTATCAAAATGTTCCTCTCTAGAGTTATTTTTTGTGTTTCTTGGTTCATGTGAAAAATCACTTTTTAAAATGAATGGGAAAAGCAACGTTTCTCTCTATTGCAGTTCATTCATCACACTGGAAATGGAAGGTGAAGTTAAGTGCATTGCATTGTGGGATACATCACCTCACACTGCACATTTGAGCAAATTATCCAAGTGTTCCATGCATACTAAGCACATTGCAGTATTGTGAACTCAGCGAACACTCATGACTCAGTGCTTTTACACAATGCTCTTGCACAAACTGTAGTGTTTGTGTTTCCTGCGCGCTGACTCGAGGTCATTGAGTCAGGAATTATTTAAAAAATACATAATATAATATAACCCTTTAATTACTTTTTTCATTACAATAATGAGAATTTTGAAAAAAATAACTTCAGAGTGCAATAAAATAAATACATGCATTAATTTTTTTATTATTCAAAATATAATTATACAGTAATTTGTAATAATTGTATATATAGTTTCTTATTTAATATTAAATATAATTTTTTTGACATTACACTTTCATTACAATAATGAGAATTTGGGGAGGAACAATTCACAATGCAAAAAAACAGATAAATGTAGGTTTAATTTTCATGATTGTATTTGACGTAGTGTTGATATGGATGTTCACTGCTCGTTCAGTCGAAGCGTTTGTGAACAGGAGAAACAGGAGACAGATTTCAGGAAGCTCTTTGTTGTTTTGAAGCTCTCAGCACAGACTCACACACAAACGCGCTCACGTCTAAAAGTGTTTTCCACTTCCGCATGTCTTCTGTGTGGTTAGTTTAGGTCTCGTTCACTCGTTCTCGACATGGTTCTCCAGCTCTCTGTTTTTTTTCACACTTGTTTACTGGACTGCTTTCGCCTGAACTCTGTCTCCTGTTGTTTATCAGTGTATAACGGGATTTCGTTCGCTCTCATCAGTCTCTAATGGCCTTATTTGGCGTGTTTGAGCACGTAAGTTCAATGTGGAAGTGGATGCATGTTGTTCTGTTTCCTTATGTACTTTGTTTCTAATCTTTTAGTTTTGCATGTTTTGAACAATCATCTCTGTTTGTCTGATCAGTGTTGTTGTCATGTTCAGGACGTGTGTGTGTGTGTTGAGGTTTCTGTAGTGTTTCGTCACCGCTCAGAATTGAACACAAACTGAGTCGAACTGTAGATGTGAGTGTGAGTGTCTCACTGCCGTGATGTTGGCCAGTTTTAACTGTATTTTTATTTATCATAATTTTAAGCAGCAGTTGTGAAAGTGCACTCTCTCTGTAGTATTGACTAGTATCTTAAGCCCTTCAGAGACTCACTTTCGTTTCCGATGGCATCACAGCTGTATTTATAAGCTGATGCTCTGCACTGTATAACCGCAGCTTCATCTTTCTGGTGGTTTGTGTTCATGTCGTTCCTGTGTTTCTCTGCTGCACGTTTGCTATCTGCTTCAGTCGTGTAAAGACACGTCATCTCTCACACAAAACCCATCAGTCATCAGGGAGAGGGTTCGGTGACTCCCGACAGATATCTGCGGTCGCTGTTGAACTCTGTGTTTGTGCGGTTCACTTCCTGATGTTTAGCGAGTGATCGAGTCTCTAAGTGTTTTTTGCTCAGTAGTGTTGATTGGCTCATTTGGGATGAAGATCTGCTTGAATCTGTGCTGAGCATCAGGATGAAACATCATCTACAATAGCATTAGTTAGTAGTATTGGTTGATTGATACAGGTTTTGGTTAAAAAATGACCTCAAACTAGGCCTGTCACGATAACAACTTTTTGTTGTGCGATATATTGCCCCAGAAATAATTGCGATAAGCGATATTATTGTCATTTTAAACACCATTTTATGCCACTGAATATATAATCATAATGTAACAGCATAATAATGCAAGAAGGCCTACACACTTCCAAATGACAACAAACTTTTAATTTTAAGAATATTTAG